CAGGAGGCTGAATCCTCAACAGTCTGCAGAATCCCCTCACTGATTACACTGTAAATGATAATCTACCTTAACCAAAATCAAAGTAGACTATCACTCACCCACACCAGATGGAAAACTCTACAGACTGTCGGTTCACACCCCATGACAAGCAACAAGCAAGCAAAACACCCACGAAACAAAGAAAGGTCTGTCACAGCCAAAAAATTCACTCCAGACACGCCGCTGGCACTAGAGGCATATATATATCGTCACAAACAGAACTGCCCGGTAAACCGTAGGCAGAGAGAGAGAAGAGGACAACAAACGAGGGGCTGTGACAAACTGTTTCGTCGGAGTTTCACCGACTCGTCAGGAGGCTGAAATATATATATATATATATATCGTCAAATAGAACTGCCCGGTAAACCGTAGGCAGAGAGGGATATATATATCGTATATGATCCAACCCCGTCCTAACTTAGGCCATACCCGTTACTAGCAATTTTCCAAATGTATTTGACCGCAATTCCATACAGATCTGGATGCATCTGACGGCAATCGAGTCCAAAGTTGATTCTAAAAAGTCCAAGCGTGAGTAGGGCCTTATAGTTACATCGGGTGCTTCATGCAGACGACAACTTGTAAATGAGCACGTCTGTTTTCATAGTTTTTTTTTTCCATAGTGGCCCGGCCAAGCCAAAAGGGGAAAAAAAAAAGAATAAAATAAATCTAAAATTCTAAACATTAAATAATATTTTATTTCATGTTTAATTTCAAGTTTAGCTTCGGTAAAAAATTCCGATGTGACCCTCAGGCAAAAGTTGCTCAGTTTCATTTTTCTGCACAACATAGTTTTTAATACTTTTTGTCCATTTTTTTTTTCAGGTTTTTTGGAAGAACTTCGAAGAAGTGTTTTTTTTTTGTTTGTTTGTTTGTTCGATTCTTTTTGGAGGGGACCTTCCCTGGCACTTCCCCGAGCGGGCCGCTCAGGCAACCAACGTGACCCAGGTGGCCCCGTTTTGGTAGCCCAGATACCCATGCATTTCTGGAAAAAAAAAAGGTTCCAAAAAAGGAAATGCTACAGGTTGGACATCCGTTAAAATTCAAAAAAAGATAGAGAAAAGATTATTAATTTATTAGCATTGCTTTCCTGTGCAGGGTTTTGACACACTCAAATCGAGAAAAAAAACAAAAACCTCCACCGTAGGATTGAGTTCGTTTCCCAACAAATTTGTTTTTTTCTTTTTGTTTTCGAATTTCGATATGGATGGTGTTACGTACCCTTGACAGCGGCGTCTTGAAACAATGGGAATCGCGGCGAACTCCTAAAGTCGATGCGTTCCTCCCTTTCTTCGCGGAATCCCCCTCTTCAAGTTTCTGCCAGCCAAAGTAAGAACGCAAACTTCTTGTCAGACTTTTTTTTTTTTTTTTTTTTAACTGAAACTAACAACAGAAATCCCTGGCAAACACGATTCGTATCAAGGAAAAAATTCCAAAAAAAGGACTTTTGAGTGCTTTTGACAATGTCTTATCTCTTTCTTGTTGCGGGGTGTGAACTTGTCGCACGTTCGATCAGATCTGCATGGGCACCGAAGTACTGACGTAATATCTGTAATATACATTTTTTCAGTGTTTTCACACTATTCCAAGTTCCAACCTTTCTGGTGGCTTATTTTTCCTGGTGGCTACCCCTGGTCTGAAAACAAATAAAAGTCAGTTCCCCCCAAGCCAGTTAGTCGGTCAGGTGCTTCGGGACACATCCGTTAAAATTGGAACGATACAGAGAAAGAAGATTAGCATGGCCGAAAGACGGCCAGTTGGACGATAATACGTCAAGGCCATCTCTCTCTCTCTCTCTCTCTCTCTCTCTCTCTCTCTCTCTCTCTCTCTCTCTCTCTCTCTCT